TCTGACCCTTTCCCCTTCTTTTCCAGATGTAGATGAGTGCCAGGCACAGCCTGGCCCCTGCGACCATATCTGCCACAACAGCCATGGCTCCTTCCACTGCCACTGCCACCACGGCTTCTCCCTGGGTGCAGGCGGGCGCTGCTGGCACAACTAGTCTGCCCCGGCATGGCCAGGTGCCCCCTGCTCACCCCCAGCCCCATGCCGGTTGCACCCAGTGCCAACTGAATAAACCCTTTTCTGCACGGTTTTCCCTGTGGGCCCCTGTCACCGGGGCCACATGACTGCTACACGGGTCTGTCCCCATCTCTCCAGGGACTGCCCCATCCCTCCCCCTTATTTCCCCCACACTCACCTTCCTTGTGGGGCTCCATGCACCCTGGTGTGCTGGGGGATGCCAAGCCCAGCCCGCTCCGTGCCTCCCACCATTGCCCCGCTCCCCCCTCTGATGCAGGAGGACGCGGGGCAGGCAGCGGGGGATGAAGCGTGGGGTTTATTGAGGAAGGTGTCCATGCAGGGGGGCCCTAGTGGGAAAAGTGGGGCCAGGGCCACCCCACACACACACCATGACCAAGCCAAAGGGAGTCCCATGGGGCAGGGTCCTCCCTCCAGGACCCTGGGAGAGCAACGCCGGCTCCATTGAGCCCTGCACCCAAGCAGGGACTCATCTCCTCAGGGCACTGGATGTCACAGGGACCCTCCTATTCCCCCCCATCTGACCCAGGCCCATGAACTTCCACACCTTGCAGCTGGGCCCAGGTGCCCCTCGGGGTCCCCACTGCAGACCAGGCTGAGAATTGGGGTGCTGGTGGCAGACGCATGCAGGACATGCGGGCAGGGGAGGGCTCAGCAGCAAGAGGGGAAGGGTCCTGGTGGAGCTGCTCCACCGGGCACCCTTCTTGCGTTGGGGCAGGTCACAGGGCAGAGCAGGCAGGGGGCTGCCAGCAGCCCAGGTGCAGGCAGGCTCTGCCAGGACTGGGTAGGGAGCCTGGCTCACCCATGCCACAGTTCAGCTTCTGCTACGCTGGGCTATGCACAAAGCCGGGGCATGCGGCACAAGGGAAGGAGCCTGCCCAGCACTGTATCTCCCTGCCCTGGGCACAGGGCTCAGGGCTGGGGAGCTTTCTGGATCTGGCTGGGGATGGCACCAGGTTGGGCAGGGAGCAGAAGCAAGTGCCCAGCGTTGAGGGCAGTGCTGGAGGATGCTGCTGGCAAGGATGCTGCTGCCAGGTGGGTCAGGGCATCTGGCCAGGGCTGGGGAGCAGCAACAGGCAGCGCATGGAGCAGGGCTGGGGTGAACGCATGGCACCATCATGCAGATGAAGCAGCACCAGGGCTCTGCCAGGCACCCTGGGCAGGCAGGCAGTGGCTGAGCCCACCCTGCAGCACCAAGAGCGGGATGCCCTAGGGAGGGGGTCCAGCAAGGGCTGGCAGTGCCTGTGGGCATGGGGCTAAGGCCCCCCCCTTAGTGCTGTCTGGGGCTTTGCTGGTCCCGCTTCTCCCTGATGTATAGCACGCAGGGCACTGCCAGCTGGGGCTGCCTGCGGCAGGGCAAGCTCCTTCGCTTGGGGCAGGGGCGGCAGCGCAGAGCACCCGGAGGGCTGCGGGAGCCCCTTGGCACCAGTTTAGCTCAGTGGGAAGCACCTGGGATGCCCCAGCATCAGGCCCTGCCTGCAGTGGGTCTGAGCAGGGGCAGGGCCACTGTGGGGGGCACAGAGCAGAGGGGGGTGGGCAGCCCCCGGCCTCCCCCCC